TACTTCCCAAAAAACAGTACGAGGAGTATCACAGGAGGCGGATGATGCTAATTTTGAAAGTGCATCCGCCTGGTTGTTTTCTGATCTCGGCACTTGGGTCAGATGGAAATCCTCAAGGGAGCCGACTGCTTGTCGGACCGCCTGCAAATACTTGATCATGGCCGGATGGGTTGCTTCGTATTCGCCATTGTACTGACTCACTATCAATTGTGAATCGGAACAGGCGTATATTTTTCTTGCCCCTGCCGCCTTGCACATGCGGATTCCGGCTAGTAAAGCTTCATATTCTGCCTCATTGTTTGAGGCCTGAAAACTGAAGCGTAGAGCATACTCGTACCTGTCGCCCTCTGGCGACTGACATATGACGCCTGCTCCACAACCGTTTGAAGTAGAGCTTCCATCCACATATACCTTCCAGACTTGGTCTGGAACTTGAGAGTCAGGAGGACGAGTCATCTCAACAATAAAGTCAGCAAAGGCTTGCCCCTTCACTGCTTTTCTAGGCTGGAAGGTAACTTCGAGGCTCTGTATTTCTATGGCCCATTTGATCATTCGGCCTGACGACTCCATGATGGTCAGTGGCCGCTTGATAGGTTGGACTGTATACACGACGACTGCATGTGACAAAAAGTAGGGCTTCAATTTTTTAACAGCCATGAAGAGTGCAAGACAAAATTTCTCCACTAAGGGATACCTGAACTCGGCATTTTTCAGTACGTGACTGACAAAGTAGATCGGGAGCTGACAGCCGTCTCTTTCAGCAAGGAGAACAGCGCTTAACGCATGATCAGAGACGGCCAGGTACATGTAGAGTACTTCTTTGGGCAAAGGGCTGACCAGCCTCGGCAAGGAATGCAAGTGAACTTTCAATTTCTGGAAGGCCGCCTCAGCATCCGGCCCCCATTCAAACCTTGCCTTTTTCTTAATTGTCTGGAAAAAGTATAGGCATTTGTCGCCTGATCGGCTTAGAAATCTTCCCAAGGCCGCCAGACAACCTGTTAACTTCTGAACCTCTCGGATAGTACGAGGCGACTGCATGTCGATGACCGCCTGCACCTTCTCAGGGTTCGCCTTTATTCCTCTCTGATTGATAAGGAATCCGAGAAATTTCCCAGACTCAACTCCAAAGAAACATTTCCTGGGATTGAGCATGACATGGTGCCGCCTGAGTGTGGCGAAAGTTTCTCGGAGGTCCGACAGATGATCTTTTTGAAGTTTAGACTTGACAATCATATCATCAATATATGCCTCGACATTTCTCCCAATCTGATCAAAGAACACAGTGTTTATCATTCGCTGGAAAGTGGTCGGGGCATTCTTAAGACCAAACGGCATGACCGTGTAACAGTATAACCCCTGATCAGTGACGAAGGCCGTCTTCTCCTAATCTTTCTTCCATAAAGGAATTTGATGGAAACCAGAGTAGGCGTCCATAAAGCTCATCAAAGCATGGCCGGCTGTTGAGTCGACCAGGTTATCAATTTTAGGCAGAGGGTAACTGTCTTTGGGGCACGCCTTGTTTAAGTCTGTGTAGTCTACACACATTCGCCAGGTGCCATTCGGCTTTTTAACAAGCACCACATTCGCAACCCAGTCTGGGAATTAACATTGCTGAATGAACCCTGCATCAAGTAATTTTTTAACTTCGGCGGCTGCCGCCTGACTTCTTTCTTCGCCATGGTTCCGCTTCTTCTGCCGTACCGGCTTCTTTTTCGGATCCACGGCCAGTTTATGTACCGCCAGATCAGGACTAATGCTTGGCATTTCATGGACTTCGAATGCAAAGATGTCCTTGTATTCTTTCAATAGTTTGTGAAAGTCGTCACCCAGGTCCCTTAGAGCAGTCGTCCCAACCTTGATTGTTCTGTAAGGACGCGAGTCATCTAAGATCAGGTCCGTATGCTCACCAACTGGCTGAGGGCGGAATTCATCCGACCGCTCCTCTGCCAATGATTGCTATTTTCTGTCTTTTCTTGCGGCCCCTGTCTGGGATGCCTTTCTCTTCTTGCCGCCTGCTTCTTGAACAGGCGCACTCTCCTTGACATTATCAAGGTCTATTTTTCCACCGCTCGACCCAGTGGCCATAACAGTGGGCTTGACATCCGAGAGATAGCACTCTCGGGCCATCCTCTGATCTCCCCTTAGGGACCCGACTGTTCCATTATCCCTCTCAAACTTGAGCAACATAAGAGATGGGATTATAACAGCCTTGAAATTATTCAGGGTTGGTCGTCCCAGAATCATGTTGTAGGCCGATAGTTCTTCTACTACCAGGAACCGGACTACCATGTATCGTCCTTCCCCTTTTTCGCCCAGGCGGATGGGTAAATCCACTCGTCCCACTGGGTGGACGACTCCTCCTCCAAACCCCACTAAAGGGTGGGATGCCAGATGTATGCAATCAGTCTGATATTTTAGTTTCGACAGACATTTGCTACTGATGAGATCTGAGGAGCTTCCGGTATCTATGAGGATTCGGAACTCTCTGGTTGACCACTTTACATTCAATAACGATAGGGTCGTCATGCGGCCCTCTTACCCCTCCTAGATCTTCTTCAGTGATGACAATCTCAGGAAATGAATATTTGGAGGGCCGTTCTTGGTGAACGGAATTTACATCTAAACGTCTGATATTGTCTTTGTTGCCCCTAATAGTGGGGCCGCCTCCTGAGAAGCCTCCTGCAATGGTGTAGACGACTGCATCATCTGTATCGGAGCTGTCGGCCTGTTGATTCTTTTTGGTCGACTGCTTTTTCGAGGAAGTGTTCCCCGTAGATTTCTTGACATATGTGTCAAGGTCACCTTGCTCAGCCAGGCGGTCCAGATACCGCATGAGACTGATGCATTCATTGGTGTGATGACCAACATCTTCATGATAATCACAAAATTTTTCTTGGTTTCGATTGTTTGCAGAACCCTTCATGGGGACCGGCTTCTCAATTGAGATCCGCCCCTTGATTTCCTTTAGGATAAATTGGCTATCCTTGTTAAACACGTACTTTGGGGAGTATGGTTTGAACTCTTTTTTCTTCTTCTGGGACGGCTGTTTAGAGGAATCAGTTGCCCAAACCTCTTTTCTCTTCTCGTCTTTGTTTGACGACTGCTTCTGTCGTCCTTCTCTTTTGTCGGACCTTTTCCCGTCTGACTGTTTTACCGTACTACAAAGATCAGTCGCCTGTATATAGGCTTCCGCTTCAATCAAGGCCTCTTGAAGAGTCGCCACCCTCTTTCGGACCAAATCAAATTTGAAGGTCGACCCGTCTTTGAGACCTCTGAAAAAGTCAGTATAGGCTACTTCATCCGGTAACCCTGGAATCTGTATTCTCATCAGGTTAAACCGCCTGATGTAAGAACGAAGCCCCTCCTTCTCGCCCTGCTGAATTGTTCCTAAATCAAGGGTCGTCTTCTTCGCAGGGATGTTCATGGCGAAGTTGGAGGTGAATAAGTAAGCAAGCGTCTTGAAGTTATTTACACAACCAGTCGGCAGGTTGCCGAACCATTGTTGTGCGATTCCTTTGAGAGTCGCTGGGAAACACTTGCACCAAGTGGGATCATCCAACCCTTGAAGGTACATCAGGTTGGTGAATGCCATCAGATGGTCTTCTGGGTTAGTAGTGCCGTCATAGGCGCCTACTAATACATTTTTCACTTTGGCCGGCTGAGCGGCTTCAGTAATTTCCTTGGAGAAGGCCGACGGCTGTTCACCAAGTCTAAGCAACCGTAGCTGCCAGTCCATAGGTTGGACATTTTTTGCTGCATGTCCACCAAACGGAGGTGGCTGTAAGAAATATTGTTGTTGCGGTACAAACGGTAAGTTTGGTACCGCCTGGTCGCTATGAAAGCCGGACTGACGGGAGGTGCCGCCTGACTGACCCTCATGATACGACTGAGTATGCCTCATCGAGGTATTTCGCAGACTATCTTGGAAGTTTGAAGTAGAGGCCGACTCTGACAATCGGTCACTCTTCTTCTGCTCTAGCAGTAGCCGAGCGTCTGTGTATGTTTTCCTCGACCCGTCCGCCTGAATATGACGAACAGGTTTCCTATTTCCTGGAGTAGGAAAACGGTATTTTGTGAAATCAAGAGCAGGTGGCTCCCACTTCCTAGATTTAGGATGAGGGGTCGCCTCTCGCCCTTGAATTGGCTTCCTCTTCCGTGAAGTGGAGGGTTTCTTAGCCGATTGCTCCTTGTCCAGAGAAGGCGGCTTCTTGTTGATCAACTCTTGAATTTCTCCCTTGAAGTCCCTCATGAAGGTCATGAGTTCGTTCCTTGTGATGGGAGCAGACCCATCAGTCGGCTGCTGCCGAACAGGCGGTGCGCCTGCTGGCTCGCTTCCAGTTTGAAGATGTTCCCGTTCCCTCCTTTCGGTATGACGGGTACGTCGGGCCCTTAGGGTCCCGTCTGAAACTGTGTGAGCTTCAACTTCAAATTCATTCTCAGTATCGTGGTCCGACTGAACTAGAGGATCGTCCAGGGGTCGTCTCTCTTCAGGAGCCGGTACAAACGTGGGTGCCATCTCAGAAATACTCTCCCCACAGACGGCGCCAAAATGTTTCGGGGTTTTCTGATGTCCTGCGGGAGAGTCACAATTCCGAGACTGGAACCGGACGCCTGTACCTGCAAAACAAACGGATGCTCCGGATGATTGGAGATCCACCTCCGACGGTCAAGTTAGTACTTGATTAAGGAGTAATTAATGCGGAAATTAAAGTGATTGGGTCTCTCTAGGTGAGAGTGTTTAATGTGTGTAATCTGCGTAATCTCCCTTAATGAGGATTAAGGGAGGTATTTATAACCTCGGGAAACGTGCCAATCTAGGTTTAGGTTAACCTTGGGCTGATTGGGCTTCCCTCGGAAGTTGGGCCTAGGTAACCGGCTTCTCCATTAGGCATGGAGTATGCCACGTGTCATGACATAATAAGTCCAGGGTGGACGAATAAGCGGGTGCCACGTGGCAAGCCCTGAGAGGTCCAACTGGGGGACACTTGGCATGACCTGATTGGCCCACGTGGCGCATTCCGATTGGTGGGAGCAAAATCCCCTAATCAGAAACAAAATTTCATGCATGAAAAGTCACGATCATCATGTTTTTTTGGAGCAATTACTTCCAATAGCTGTTCGTGGACTCCTTCCAAAACACGTTTGTGAGCCATTAATTGAACTAAGCTTGTTCTTTAAGAACTTGTGCTCAAAAAATTTGACAATGAAGGAACTTGATAAGCTTGAAAACAAAATTCCCTACACTATGTGCAAATTGGAAATGATTTTTCCACCTTCTTTCTTTTCTGTCATGCTACACTTAGTTGTTCATCTGGTGGCAGAAGCTAAGATTGGTGGTCCAGTGAGATATCGATGGATGTATCCAATAGAGAGGTATGTGTATAATGCAATTTTTGATTTTTTTTTTTCATAATAATATATTTTATTTTTCTGTTACATATTTTATTTTCATATATCAGGTACCTGCGTACATTAAAATCTTATGTTCGCAATAAAGCACGGCCAGAAGGTTCGATTGCAAGAAGTTACTTGGCTGATGAATGTTTAACATTTTGCTCTAGATACATGGATGACATGACCACAAAATTTAGTCGCCACTCTCGAAATGAAGATAAGGATGGCAATAGTCAGGAGACTAGTAAAAGGGATCTGGACTTATTTATCCCACGTGGTCGTCCTTTAGGAAAGTCAACGCCTTATCATCTTACTGTAGAGGAGTTTGAACAAGTCCACTTTTATACCCTTAATAATTGTGATGACCTCATGGAACTTGCTAAGTAAGTAAGTAAATAATAAAATAGTTTTTGTAAGAAATTTAACATTTTTCATCTAGATATTTTAAGGGTTGTTTTTTTTTTTTCCCTAACTTCAGGCAGCATAGAGAGTTACTTGCTGCTGAAAATCCAACTCCTAGAAATATCGAGAAAAGACATAAAGCTCAATTTTCTGAATGGGTTCGCAATCATGTAAGTTATCTGTCTATTTTACATATACATATTAGCAATATTATGGCTCATCAATAATATTATAATGATTTCATTTTATTTATAGGTGGAGCATATGTATAAGGAAGGATTGGTTGATGAAGAATTATATTACTTAGTTTGTGGTCCTTTACGCAGTGTAAGGCGTTATAGTGGCTACATTGTGAACGGGTTTAGGTTCCACACTCTTGATCGCCAAGAAAATAGAAAAACCCAAAATAGTGGGGTTATGGTTCACGGAGATGATCTAATGGATAAGGAGTATTATGGTGTTCTAAGAGACATTTACGAGCTTCAATATCCCGGTGGAAATCATATGTTCGTTTTTAAGTGTGATTGGTATGATGTTCAACATAAGGGTAGAGGGTATAAAGTGGATGAATTTGATATAACCAGTGTCTGTAGTGACTTATCTTTATCAACTCAAGAACCCTTTGTATTAGAATCACAAGTGGAACAGGTGTTTTATGTTCCAGAACCTAGGGAAAATAAGTGGCTAGCTGTTATAAAGACAGAGCCTCGAGATTTGTACAACATTCCTGAAATAGACACCGATGAAGCTGCACTTGCTCAAGTTATTGATGAAGAAGCTGTGCAGCAAGAGGAGATTAGGACTTCAAATGTCCAAACTTTATATGGAAATGGAGAGAATCAGTATTTGGCTACTAAACATTTTACAGTGGAAAGTGATCCTCGAGTCGTAAAATGGGTAACCAAAGTAATGGAGAGGATTAAGCAACAAAAACATGGGAAACAAACGAAAAAAAAGAAGAAAAATAATGATATGGATGGTTTCATTGTTGATGATGATGTTGAAGTTTAAACATCTATCTTTATGTCACTTCTGTTATCTTAGATAGTTATTTAGTTTCCTGTGTTAGGTTGCAAAATTTATCATCAATCAACTTTCATATCTAACTTGAACTGTTATTTTCAAAAGCTAATTTATGAAACTAGTTTTTTTTTTTCCATTATATTTTTCATATGATAGTAATTATTATGTTCAATCATTTTCCAACTATAAAAGCCTGGTAAGTATTCTTCGTATTTTATTTAATAACCCTTATGATTATGTTATATGGTTATATGATTTAATAGTTGCGTATAGAAAATATAGTGTTCCAAAGCTCTTAAATATATGTTTTAAAATATTGCAGATATGGCAGGAAGAGGACAAGTTAAGCTACGAAAATTTGGAAGCATTGGAAATAGAAAAACTGTAAACTTTGCTGAAGAGTCCCAACGACGCCTTCAAGATGTATTGGAGATGATTTTGTTATGGATGACATTGGATCTAATACAAATAGTCCTACTAATGAAGAAAATCCAAATGAAGAAAATCCAGGTGGAGATCAAGGTTTTTCAAACATAGGTAATGATGAAATACAAACCACTTTCAGTTTTTTGAACTTCACAACAAGTTTATTCATCTAATGAATTTATCTCATTAAATTTTATTTGTTAGGGGGAACAAAGCGTGTATATGCTAGCAATTTTATGAGGAGACTTGATGTTGTGTTAACTACATACCAGGCAGCGGATCCTACTCCTCATGAAGATAATGGTAATCGACCTAAAAAGTTGAGAACTAAGTACATGCATGAAAGACACGTGTTGGATGAAGCCCAACGTAATGATCCTAATAGCAGCCAAGGTAACAATGATACTATGATTTTTCTAAATTGCTTGTTTATGCAGCTTTGTAGCTTACTGTATTTTATTGTGTTTGGAGGCATTACTGTAGCCTCTGCTACAAGTGTTATTAAAAAAAGAGGTCGGAGAGGCAAGTACGGAAGTTTAGCTCTTGAAAAGAAAACCAAGGGCGGTCAATTTAAGTTGGATATTGAAATACCCCCGTATGTTCTGCAAGCTGTTGGAGAAAATGCCCGCTCACTAGTTAACTTTTGTGGATATGTTGTTAGAACAACAGCTTTAATGGATGCAGGAGATTGGTCTAAAGTTTTTGCTAAACATGGTTTCAATGTGGTTGCAAGTGAAGGTAGACTTTAGCATTTTTCATACATTCTAATAATATTTACATTAGTTTTCCTCTCTGCGTCATAATACTATTTTAAAAACAGAACAAGTTCACCATTAAAGACTCCTCTACCCAGCTACCTCGACTTCAAGCTTTTGTAACTGATGCAATGCAACGCTAATATCGATTTTGGAAAGCTCGTTTGCATGCTTATTACAAGGAATGTGGAGATAGGCATGAGGAGAGACTTGAAAATCCTCCTACTGATTTTCCACTTTCAAGCTGGATAGCATGCTGTGAGACATTTAATTCTGATAAGTTTAAGGTAAACACTCTCTTCCTATTTATATAAATAATCATGCTTATGTTGTCATACCTTCAAATTAATACTATTGATGATCTTATATCTTAAATCTAGAAAAGAAGCATGCAAAACAGTAAGAATCGAAGGTCTGATAAATGGATCAAACACTCAACAGGGAACTTATCTTTCCCTGAGACAGAGTACATCCTGGTTAGATTACAATGTGTACCTATAGTGTAAGATTACAATGTGTACCTATTGTAAAATATTTTTTATTATGACGTTAACACATCTTACTAATGTTTAGACCCAACACACAACAACAGATGATGGAGGAGTTTTACGATGGACTAATGATGCTCGTTCTAAAGAAATACACGTGAGGAAATCCTTTAAAAACCTTGTGTATTATTCAAAGGACATCGATACTACTTGTGTATGAATTTCTAATTTATTTTTTCAGGCGCAACTCCATTAACTCGTGCAAGATAAAGATAAAGAACCTGAAGGAGATCAAATGCGCCCCCAGACACAGGAAGATATGTTGGTTCAGGTACTTGGGGCAAAATCTGGGTACATTCGAGGCAAAGGTAACGGGTATAGAGGTTCAACTAAAGCAAGACTTCAAGAAGAGCAACAAATGATAATGCTTAAACAACAAGACCAGATAACTCATTTAAAAACTGAGCTTGAGGCGAGTAAGAAGGATATGGATGAATACAAAGAAGAACAGAAGCGTATTATGGCAGAAATGGAGAAGCGATTCATGCAGATGATAAATAGCAACATGAAAAGGTATGATACTTTCTGATTCGGCTTTCCTCACATATATGACTTTTAACACCTGTGAGCATGTTATGTTCTTTTCTTGTACAACTAATTAATTTATCCCTCCTGATTTTTCCCCTATAAGCTGCACACTTTTGTGCACTGTGAACCGTCATAAATTAGCCCATCTTTGCTTGTACATAATCATTGATTAATGCTGCTAACTGATGAAAAATTATAAATAATGTCAGAAGCAAGTGTTATAGTTCAAGTTGAATTTTAAGAGTTTCTTCATGCTTTGGACTAAGTAGGCAGAGAGTAAAAAAAAAAATTGTTGTCAAGCCATCGTTTTACCACGATGCTTGTTTGCTGGTAAATTGTGTTCTATCTTACTGAATTATCACTTGTTCTATCCTCCATGAAAAAAATTCACACTGTATGGTGTAAATGTTTCACATAGTAAGAGTTAGCTCCTACTGGCTGCAGGGTTTACGTTGGGATAATCGTGACTTACTTTAACAACTGTCTCTTGCTGTTCCCTTGCTATTGTTTTTTTTGCTAACTTATTTCTTTTTCTTTTTTCAGGATGGGTTTTAATGGTAATGACAATGATATGGAGTGAAAGGTCGTATTAGAAGACAACTATGTGATGGCAGATAACAATTCTAAGTATAGCTTAAAATTTTGTGTAACCATATTTTGTTTGACAAACTCTTAGAGTTACACTTAATAGTTGTATATATTTGTAGGATATTGTGGTAATGGATATTGGCTTAGGAACATATTTTGGGAGAATGTAGACTATGTAGTGATGGTTTTGGGGTATATAATTTTAGGAGAATGTGGTGATGGCTCTTGGGTATATATTTTTGGGAGAATGCGGTGATGGTTTTTGGGCAATTACCCAATTATTGATGGGTTGTGTAAGAAACATATTTGTAATTGGTATATGTATGCTAATTGTATTTTGTGAACAATTTATCAAAGTAGAACTTTTTATAAATGATAGTTTTGTCATGGGTACAAAATAAGTATTTATTTTACATTTGTTTGATTTGTATGGACAGGCAATACTATTAATGTAATTTATTATGATTAAATGAATTTGCATTTATTTTTTTTGCAACAACGATTATTGTTATTTTAAATGAATATTATTTGTAACAATCCATTTATGTTGCAAAAAAGTGAATCATATTATAAATATTATCAAGATTTGATAACAATATTAAAATTTTTACAACAAGATACTCGTTGCGAAAATTGATATTTAGTAACAATAAAATTTGTAGCAAAACCAATATATTTTGTAACGACCAATGTCGTAGCTAATAAGATTTACATTCACCCTGGATTTGAATATATGGCAACAAACTATTTTTTGCTACAAAAATGTTGTTGCAAAAAAGACGATTTTTAGCTACGGAAGAACTCGTTGCAAATACTTTTAGTAACAACATCTCACATAACGGACAGAAGTCATTGCAAAAAATCCAAAATTGTTGCCAATAATATATTTGGCAACGACTTTCCTCGTTGCCAAATAACAATTTTCTTGTAGTGAAGAGCTTCTAATGTAACAAAAGTAATTGATTTGCTTGCAAAATTGTCTTACTTTTTCAAGCAATTATGCTCCACTGCTATTGATCCTGATGATCTAGATGCTCTTCAAGAAGGAATTGTATTAACCCTTTGTGAGTTGGAAATGGAGTTTTTGCCTTCATTTTTCACAATCATGGTTCATTTACTAATTCACCTAGTGGAGGAGGTTAAACTCGGTGGGCCAGTACAGTACAGATGGATGTATCCCATTGAGAGGTTAGATTTATTTACATATATGTCTAATCTAAATTCATCTAGAAAATCTATAAACTTACTGTATTTTAATTATAATTTGACTTTTTGAAAAGGTACTTGGCCCATCTAAAGTCACATGTAGCTAATAAAGCCCAACCTGAAGGGTCAATTGCAGAAGGCTACCTTTTAGAGTAGACCATTAGGTTTTGTTCAAGATATCTTGAAGGTGTTAAGACCGTCTTTAACAAACCTAAACGAATTGATGATGATAGTCCCAATTCTGGAAAATACTTGTGTAATTCTGGCGGTCGAGTAATTGGGAAAGAAGTCAATTTCCGTCTAGATGACAAAAGCCTAAAACAAGCTCATCGCTATATTTTACTGCATCATTCTGATGAATAACCAATTATTATAATATATCATTATAAATTATAATTTATTTTCCTTTCTTTGAAGAGAATTTTTAAATCTAAAGCGACAAATGAATACACATAACCCAATCACTGAAAGTGATGAAAGTGATTGGATCATCAGCGAGTTTGGAGAGTGGTTGCGAAGTCAGGTGATATATATGTATCCTAATGTGTTCAATTTTCTTACAAAAATAGCAGACTGTTTTTGACTTTATATTCTACCATGATAGGTACACTCAATAGATGAATCCACCGAAGATGGGAAACTTAGAAAAATTCTGGCAGGGGGATTGAATTGTTATGGTAAAAAAATGAAGGGCTTTATGATCAATGGGTATAAATTTCAGATCATGGACCGTGATAGCCGTTTGACTACCCAAAATTCTGGAATCATGGTTGAAGCAGATGGAGAAGCATACTATGGGAAACTGAAGGATATATATGAATTGGACTATTATGGGAATTACAAAGCTATATTGTTTCATTGTGTTTGGGTAGACATACAGAGGGGTGTTAAATCAGATCAAAATGTCTTTATATGTGTTAATTTCTCCAAGTTGATGCATTCAGGAAGAAATTTGCAAGATGATCCTTTTATTTTCTCATCTCAAACAAAACAGGTTTTCTACATTGAAGATGAGATACGGAAAGGATGGTTTCATGTTGTAAAGACTAAGCCTAGAGACTTGTTTGATTTAGGGGATGAGTTACCCGAAGTAAATAACGACAATGAATGATTAGTTTCCTATTTTAATTTGGATTTGTAATTGCTGAATTTAATTATGAGTTGATATTTGTCATTAATTAATATTTCCTTTTGCTGAATTTATCCCTTTACTTTTTGTTAATTCTATTTGTTAATTACAATCTATTTTCTCATACCATCTAACAGTTATAGCGGTTTTTCTTATGATTTCGATTTGCTCTTAATTAACACACTATTTTTTTTCTTTCTCGTCAATATCATATATAATTAGAGCTATATTCTCATTGTTCAGGTGTAGAACTTCCTGTCAAAAAGAGAGAGAACGAAGAGGTTTAATTATGAGTAATCTGAGTTGATTTACTTGATTATGCTCAGCTATTTGCAGATTGATTAAAGAGGTTTAGTAGAACTGTCACCTGTATGCATACTCTACTTCCTTCGACTTCATTTTCACATTTCGATTCAGAAAATTGAAACCTGTCTGATATCCTATGCTGCACACATAATTTCTGACTAGTTGTATTTGTTTCTGTTAATAGGTGCCTCATAATGAGTTACAGAAGTAAAAGAACTGCTTTACCCCCTGGCGAGGCTCAATTTTCTTCAAATAAGAAACCCACTTCGACATCCTTACAGTCTAAGTCCAGCCATATTGCAGTGTCACAATCCGACTTTTCAGAGTCTTCTAACCAATCCACCCAATGGGGACCATTTAGCCCTCCAACACTTGGAAGATCACAAACGTTTGGGCACATATCGCAACCAAACAAATCTTCTATTAATGCATCAAAACCCACATCTACATCATCTTCATCTATAGCTGCTGCATCAAAAGCAGGTATGCCAACTATAATGCCATCAAACTCCCAACAAAAGATGTCATCAAAACCTCCTTTAACCCCATCACAACCTAGATCGTATCCTATGTTACAATCTGTAACACCACAAACATCGCAACTCCCTCATAAAGAAACACTACAGCCTCACAAAGGAACAATTCAACCTACTAAACCATCAAAGCATCATAAGGTTACAGAGCATCCGACTATTCCACCTTTTACTAAAGCTAAAACTGGTGCACTTCCGTCACAAGAAACAACACAAGTCCCTCATAAAGAAACAACTCAGCCGACTAAAGCATCAAAGCAACCTCAAAAAGCTACCGAACATCCAAGTAAACAACCTTTTCCTGGAGCTAAAACAGGTGCACTGCCGGTGGGAGCTTCACAACAACCTATTGTCTCTTCTTTGACTGGAGCTAAATCCCAATTAGAAAGAAGAGTTGTTTCACCCCTGGAAGCTATGCAACAAACTCAAAAGAATCATCCTATGACGTCTTCTAATTTTGGAGGTGAACCCTTGACACAACCACAAATGAATACAACTTGTTCACCGGGACTCCAAAAGGAGAAGTCTCCTGCATATATTCATGCTGAAAGCAACAAGAGGTTAAATTTTGACTCTGACGAACCTGAATCTCAATCAGAGAGTGAAGAAGAGTTGTATGAGTCAGGTGGAGTGGACAGTGGTGTGAAAAGAACAAAATTTAGACGCCGAAGTATTGTGAAAAATTGGCCAGAGCATGTCAAGTTTGATGAGGAAGAAGAGGTTGTGGCATTTGGTAAGTGTAAATGCATATTTAATATTATGTGCTTTGTTTTTTTCCTTTTTGAATGTTTTTTTATTGTTTAACACTTACCTAATTTCATTGTTTTCAAAGATGTCGATGGAACACGACACCTTGTGAAGGGTTCTGTTCAGCCTCGAGATGTGTGGAATGATGCACCAGGATTTAGGTACTTCGTCAAATTTAATGAATTCAACCAACCTCTTCACAAAGGTGGCTCCATCCTTGTGAGTTTCTTAGGAGACATTGCTAAACGAGAAGAATTTTGTCCCGTGGGAATTTTAAATTGGCGTAAGTTGAGCTCGAATATGAGAGGCAATATTGTTAACCTTGTTCGGGTACGCCTTTTAATCGTTCACCATGAATATATAATCTTACTTTCATTACTACACTTATAATCTATTGCATGCCTGACATATGCTATGGTTCTCTGATATATGATATAATTATGAATGCCACAATAATAACTCACATGTAGTATGATACGCTATAAGTTATATATGCTACATAGATTAATCTTAATGTAACTTTATTTGTACATTTACTTTAAGGCACATTTTCTGTTACCCGATGGAAAGGAAATGAGGAATGCTATTTTGAAGCGTATTGGCAAAGCATGGAAAAATCATAGATATGCATTAAAGAAGGATTATTTTGATCCCGTGGAAAAAACGCGTGAGCAAAATTATGCTAGTATACCTGATGGAATCACAACTCAAAATTGGAGTTTTCTGGTTGATTATTGGCTTTCATCGGACGCCAAGGTTTGCATTTTGATTTTTACGGGAATTTCTTGTTTATAGATTAGCTCTGTATAACCGTTTTGTATGTTGTCAATTTGTTAGTAACATTTTAGTAGGATATAATAAATTGAACAATCCTAGATGTGTGATAAACATTTTGGTGGTTATGTTGTTTATGCTGATCAACTCCTCCCACAATGTCCTTTAATTCTTCATAAGCGATAACCTATGACCAGCAAATCTATAAACTTACAGTCTTATAGCTTTATAAGGAACAAATCAGAGAGAGAAAAGAGTAAAGTATACACAATGAAACAACAGTAATGGACCTCCTATATTCGCCGCTGATGCTACAACCCTTTTCCTTTGTTGTCTCTCTAATAAGCTACATATTCTCTCCTTCCCTGTTATCTTGCTGTTGCCAATAGTCGTTTTCTTGTGACAGCTTGCGTCCCATCAGATATAGTTAGTCACACGATAAGGTTTAGAGATCTCAAATCCATTATATTTACACAGTACACGTGTTAGTGAGAACAGAGGCTAGCTTCCATCAGACCAACTCACTACCTAATGACACAAGCAAATCCGTTATATTCTGATTATAGTGGTTTTAGTGTGATGTAACTTTATTTCTATCTCATGCTAACCATGATTTTAAATAAACAGAAAATGTCTGAACTCGGAAAAGCTGCTCGTGCGTCGCAAGTTCTCGTGCGCAAGAGTGGTGCTAAAAGCTTTGCAAATCGCAGAGCTATTTTGGTATAATTATCCTTCATTTTATTTAGTCCTAAAATTTGCATTTAGTGTTTTTTTTTCTATTTGACTATCTTACAAGATTTGGAAGAAAATGTAACTTCGTCAATTTAAAAGACTTAAAATAGCAGAAGTTAAATGTCAGATATTTGTATGTTTCTCACATTGCAGGAAAAACAAAAAGGTGATTTCAATTAATTGGAGTTTTTTAAAAGTGTTTACAGCGAAGGAGATGGAAGCTTCAAAGAGGGCACAACATCTCGTCATTTTCTGGTATATATACCAATGAAAATTAGTTTAACCACTAATTTATTAGCTCTTTGCCAAGTCTTATAGTTTTCTTATCATGTAACAGGAGAATGAAATAAAGAAGGTGCAAGAAAGCCTTGATAACTCCTCTGCTTCCATTCCCAAGGTTGATATTGAAAATGAAGTTTTCAATCAACTTATGTATCAAGGCGAGATCCCTAAGAGTCCTCTAAATTATGGCTTTGGTGTGAAGCAAAGCGACATCTTTGGAGTGGAAGGACATTTAAGGAAAGAAGGGTCTTACTATGTCAACAATAGTGATATGGAAGTGGAGAAGTTGAAGGTTGCACTGTTAGATATGAAGAAGCAAAATGAGGATCTTGCTGAACAAAATCAAATATTGAACACAAAATTTGATGCAGTTGGTTCTATGATGGCACAGGTTTTGAAGGCAACACGTAGTGGAAATGTTTCATCAGAAGTTATAGATAATGCTATACAACTACTTGATTCTCAGGTTTGGAATAAACCATTTCTTTTTTCATCCGCTTGACTCTACTATAACACCACATTGCAAATTTTTCTGACCTACTTAAAATTTTCTAAGATCAATCAATAATACTGATGCTGAATAAGACTATAAGAGCAGAACTACATAAACAAGTGTGTCAGCTTACCTGAAATTATTAAGGCTGATGTGAGTTTTCTGTTTCTCTTGATCTCCTTGAGTTGCTTGATTTGCTACACCTGTTCACATACTCTGATGTTCTTGACGGTACATCTATTATTGAGGATAGCTTTGAATATGTTGATGCACCTATTGTGAGGATTGCTGGTGTTGACGTACCAATGCCTTATGCACCTTTTTTTTCATCCACTTCATTGCTGGATTGCTATTTTAGGTGGTTTTAGGTTCGGTTAGGGAGAAGTGGTGTTAGTTAGAGGCAAGTTAGTACGTTTTAGGTAAATGTTTGAAAGTTAGTCATTTTATATAGCTAGATTGATAAAGAATACAGTAAAAAAATATTCACCATTTATTAATAATTAAAAAATTACTTATGGTTGCTGCGAGAATGATGAAGTATGTTACTGATTATGGGGAGTACGCTAGTAGGGTGTTCAAGCCCCCTGTAATGCTCACTCCTGTTGTGTCTTCATGGAAGTGCCAGGGGTTGGTTGGGTTAAAATTAATTGTGATGCTCACATTGGCCAAGCTACAAGGTTGCTGCTTGCAGGTATGGGCTGCTCTTGGCGTGCAGGTTGGGGTACAGTAGAGTGATTATTGAAAGCGATGCCCAGCTTGTTGTACGTCGTCTCAAGCAGCGAATGCAGGGGTTTGATCCCTTTAGTTTGTTTTTGGATGATATTTTATCCATTGCTAATTTGCTAGTTCTTTTTCTGATTTTTCGTTTTCTCATATTAAAAGGGCAGGTAATACTTGGACCATATTGAGCAGACATTTTGCAGTTTGTTATCTTTATCCCTAATATTTGAATAGGAATGTCATTTGTTATTAGCCGAGCACATACCGCCTTTAATAGCAATGGGTTAATTACTTGTGTTGTGCAAGAAAGTGACTATTTAGTACAAAAATTCTTGTTAGCTTGGCGTATTACTAGACAGTTATGTGCTTGGTTTACGTTCCTCTATGGCAAATATTTTTTGTTTAACTTCTCTAATTTTTCAATATTACTACTACAATAATTGTTCACATATCAAATTTTCTTCGCATGTTGTTGATGATGTAGGCAGCAATGGTAAAAAGTAAATGAAGAGCGTGATTTGGCTTCAAGCACTCTTATTATATATATGTGTGGGTATTTAGTAGCTTTTATAGCGTTGCGTATAATTAGTTTGGACATCTTTTTTAGGAAAATATCTATATATATCTCTGTATTCAAATACTACACTTGTTTAGTTGAATTGGATGTATATATAACGTTATTATGTAAACGGATTTATATATATATATATGTGTGTGTGTGTGTGTTTTTCTATATATATATGTTAAATTTTGTAAATACATTTTCATCAATTATGATTTTATATATTAATTATTATTATGATTATTATTATTATTATTATTATTATTATTATTATTATTATTATTATTATTATTATTATTATTATTATTATTATTATTATTATTATTATTATTATTATTATTATTATTATTATTATTATTATTATTATTATTATTATTATTATTATTATTATTATTATTATTATTATTATTATTATTATTATTATTATTATTATTATTATTATTATTATTATTATTATTATTATTATTATTATTATTATATAACAAAAACCTACAAAGTCAAAAGAGATACAATCTGGGCCCCCACCCCTCTAACTATAGCGAACCCAATCCTGTTAAAGATGTGAGCAGCCGCACGAGCTCCAATATCCTGAGTCCTAGCGAACGCCTGAACCCGCTTCAGCAACGCAACGACATCCTTCTCTAATTCCCCCAATGAAGAAAAGGAGAAAAGAAGAAAACCATAGCCAATAGCCTTGCAACGTGCCCCATACTTGTCTCGCTTCCGCTGAGCCGCAGCCGACATAACACGACCAGGAACGAAGTCAGACAACCCAGATTGAGTCAATGGAGAAGACCCCGTCAAGTCAACACATACATCTAGGCCTCTATCCCAGGAGTTAAGCAACACATCTGCTGGCCGAAGAGCCCCGTCGTTCCCTTCAGTTAACCCAACGTTGACCTCCTTCCTTGCAGAAATCCCAGAGCGGAAACAAATATCAACAAGGGTATCACGAACAACGTTATGCCGATGTTTAATACCCACCATCCCAGCACAAGACACTGCATGATCCCCATAAATATCCCCATCAAAAACTCTTGAGCAAGCAGAACAAGGTGCCGATACGGAGAACAAGGGAACACCCAACCGGTAGCAAAGAACACAACGGTAAGTCTTACCATTCATAGTCTGACCCAGACCTGATATCGGGACCGCTCGCAACCAGGCAGAAGAGTAATCCCCCTGCTGGGACTTCCATAAGGCAACCTGACGTGGAGACAAGGAGAAAGTGGATTCTGCAGATGCAGTGACCTTTGTGAAATATATATCTGCCAATTTCTTCATGAGTTTGGGGGCAGCGATCTCACTAGGGTAACGTAAAAGGTCAGTCTCCACAGTCCTATTAAAAAGACTAAGAGCGTCGTCGAAGGCCGGACCTGGACCAACAATACCAGAATTGCGAAGAAGCGAAGCCTGTAGACCAGAACACTGCAAACGCGACGCAAGGAAAGCATAGTGTCGAACATCACCCGCTGAATAGACACCCAGTCCTCCATAAGAAAAAGGTAAGGTGGCAAGGCGCCATTGCCAATCACCAAAACCTGGCCCCGAAGCAGTTACAATGCGCTCCACAGAACCTCGAAGGGCCACATCAAAAGAAATCTGGGCCGCTTCAAAAAGACGAGGAGGACAAGTGCGCATAGAAAAGTAGAGTTTTGAAACTCCAGTACACGCACGAAGAAGTAATAACTCACATTGGGGATCCTCAAGCTTAGCAACAGCATCCATGAGCACAATGGTCTTCGACACCCTCTGCGAAACAAGCTCACCACAGAAAGAGGCATCCGCACTGACAGGACCCCCAAGCAACTCAACACCATGAGCAGGATGAGCAATATCTGGAGGAAAGACACCGGCCAGACGGCTACGAGGGTCCTCCGTGGGCCAGAAAACTTCCGTTTTCTCAACGTTAACATGGAGACCAAGACGAGGTCCCTCCACCAAAATCAACTCCATAACCTTCCCTACCACCAAGGTGTCACCAATAATAGTGCCATCATCCAAATACCAAGCCTGCAAACATAAGTCAAAAGAATCCCTAATTTGACAAACCAACGGATGGAGCACCAAAGCAAAAAGCAAAGGGCCAAGTGGATCACCCTGCTGCACACCCTGACATGACCTTAAGGTATGCTCCCCATAATAGAGCCTGGCTGGAGTAGAGTAACAGAATTCAACCCAACGCGAAAGAGCTGGACAACGGAGACGAACCTCACGCAGTAAAGCCGTACGATCAACCAAATCAAAGGCATTCCGGAAATCCACCAGCAACATAGAGAGGCCAACATCACCACCTCGAGCCTCAACCAAACGATTAACAGCATGAAGAATAGCCTCGCCACCCGCCGGCACCCCAACACCAAACTGAAGACCTCCTAAATAGTTCCCCATACGCGGACCAACTAAAGCAGCCCCAACCTTTGAAACCAGACGCCGCCAAACAGTACCCACAACAATAGGACGAATACCACCACCAGGCTTAACAAGTGGCGTGAGAGAAGCACTAGCAATATACTCCCCCAACTCAGCAGGACAATTTCCTGCGAGAAAGAGATTAACCACCTGCGTAATAGAGCCCACCAACTCATCTGAAATAGCAACCGCAGCACCACTCAAGCAATCCAGAAGGTGCTGAGCACGCAAGCCGTCTCTACCGCATGACGTACCACGCGGAAAACCCCTAATTTGATCCAAAACAACAGCAGATGAAGCAATAAGGGGCTGATCAACGGGGATATCCGGTAAGATAGGAGCCGGAAAGGAAGGGTGCTTAGCTTGTAAATCAGCAAGAGTAGCATCATTGTAAGGGGCAAGACCAGAAGACGAAAGAACCCGAACCGCAGCAGTGTAATGTCCGTCACAAATCTTTCTCTTACATTGCTTAATATTTCGCTCAGACAAATCATGCTCATCATCAGCTTCCAACAAAGGAGGAGACACATCTGCCAACGTATCTCGCACAAGATGCACAGAACCACCAGGCTCACACCAAGAACGAATAGCAGCGGTGATACTCTCTTCCTGCCGCCGGCGCCGGACACCCGAAGAACACTCACGACTACTCCTCGGGGTAAAAGTTTTAAGAACACAAAGAGGCAACACAAGTAGTTGAACCCAACAAGAGACGTCATCAGGCTTGCAAATCACCTTATCAAGCGCTCCTTTGAGAACCCGAGAAAAACCCAAGCGACACTTTGGAGGAATAGATTTCACCGAACGGAACCGCTTAGATAGCAAACTATCCAGGAGAGTAACATCGAACGCCAAAAGAGGCTGACGAGGCGCACTAGAAACAAGATCAGATACCTCCGAAGAAAGACCCTGAGGTTTAGGAAAACCATAAAGAACAAACCGAACAACACCATCCCCCAAATCAGGTGGGTCCACAATATCATCCGAACCACGACCATGTCGACACTTCGTACGAAAAGTATGAGTCTTGAAACACTCCCCACAAAGCCAAATGCCCATACGCCGAAAAGTTGACTCCGCCTCTAAGAAAATAGCCAGATTAGAAGCAAGAGAGCATCGGGTCATATCCCGCGCATCCGCACAACAATGACGGTCACGGAGATGAGTGATCAAAGAAGTTTTAGTGAGCCCATTACCCCTGCCATCTTGACACCCATTAAGACCCACGAACGGGTAATGAAAGAGAACACTAGGAGGCATAACATCCACCACAACTTGCCACAAGAGAACCGTAATACAACACAACGTAAACTGCACCAAAAACTAACCAAAAATTGCACCCAAGAAGCACTAGAAACCGCCTAGCAACTGCAGCCAAGAAGAACACACAAGAACGCAACTGAAACAGCCCGGAAACACCTGAAAACAGCCTACAGAAACTGCCCGGAAACTGCTACAGGTACTGCAGCAAAACAACCCTATGAAACCGCCTAAAAACTGCACCTGATCAACCCAAAATCAGACCATAAAAAACTCCTGAAAACAGATGCTGTGAACCACTTAAATACTGCCTGAAAAACGGCTGTAATCGCCGGAAAAGAGAAGCCCTCGCCGGACCTACAAACGCCTGGTTAATGATCGCAGAACCAGCCTGAAAATGAACGTGGAACGAGCTTGAATTTCGCCCATAAACTGCCCTCGAATTGCCCTGAAATTGCCCAAACAATGAAGCCCGAAACAACCTGAATTTCGCCCCAAAAGAACCGAGGAAACCGCCGGAAAGAAGCCTGACCTAAAGGCGCCGACACCGAGCACCGCCGCCTGATATTAAAGGACTAAAAGCCGCCGGAAAAGCTGCCGGAAACCCCCCTACGCCCAGCCCTAATCGCCCTAACGAGAGTTTTTTTTTTATTATTATTATTATTATTATTATTATTATTATTATTATTTTGGTTGTTTACAGTTTTATATAAGTACTTCATTAATTTAATTTTATCAATTTTCGTCCAAAAAAAAGGGGAAAATAGTGACGCTTTTATAAATCAAAGTTCTTGGTGGTATTTAAATTGTTGGAAATAATATATCATCATTTTGACACACAAAAGTGTCACAACTTTTTAAACAATGACTAACAAAAGCGTCACAAGTTTTTGGACATTAGTAATGGTGGGAAATACAACCCCCAATTTGACACACAAAAGTGTCATAATTTGATAGTAACTAAAAAAAGTGTCATAGTTTTTTAGTACTGACACAAAAAAGTGTCATAATAATTTAGAGATGACACACAAAAGCGACATATTATACTTATTGTAGGGAATAGTTTCAAGCCTTAAATCCCACTAGCTCGAACCCCACTGTGATCATACACTAAAGTACGGTGGCGTCCAAAAGGGAAGAAGATAGAGCAAAAGAGTCGCCAACAAGTTTTTAAGGAACTTGTAAACCGTTCACGAGGTGAAGGTTACACCCCTTAACGATCCAAGAGATCGTCAACTCCATAAGGTCATGAACCAAATAAGGGTTCGGGGATGAAGGTACAAATCCAACCTAAAAGAGATTGAACCTGCCCTAATAATAGGCCTCTACTTTATTCTGCTCGTATTCATGTGCGCTTTTTAATTAACATTCAATTAATAGGATTAACCCTAAACCTGTTTAACCTATGTTGGTTGAATATTAATGCACAAACAAACTATTATTGGCGATCACTTGAATTATAATCATAATAACCC